ATTACGTAAGCTACAAGCGCAGCTGCTGTCCTACCAAATTCTGACGTCGCAGTGAGGGTTACGGTAGGTTTATGGTATGAAAGGGAAAAATTCAAAGTTTGACGGATTTGGCTGAAATTTGGCATAGCGTTGTTATCCGGCATGCTGATCACGAAAACGATAGTGAAATTGCGTGATAAGGGTTTTTTGTAGGATTACTGTAGGTATACGATATTGGGTCCCATCGTAAACAAGGAACGAGGCGTTGATTCAGCTAATAAATACGATATTCGTGTTTAGCAGGTCAAAAAACCTCAATATGTAAAAGGTCGGGAAATTTTGGGGTTCCGACTCCTTACTCATTGACGGCTGCCCCCAGTAGCCTTGCGTACAGCAACGTTTTCGAGATCATGGGGGCGCCAAATCTCGACTTGCCTCTAAATTTTATTTCTTTCTTGCTGAGCCGAATAAGTCAACCTCTAGCAACAATTAGCAGACGATTCCGGATTATTGCGGATGGTCTAGATTGCTAACAACATCATTTTGCATTGAAACCCCAAAAATTCCCAAAATTTACTGGTTTTCGAAACATACCTGAGATTTTTCTAATTCGTGATCAAAATGCAAACATTTCGGGTCAAATGTAGCCCATTACATTACGCTTTACATACTGCCCAAATTTGAGTGCGCCACAACCAAAGAGAGTTGAGTTATGAAAGTAGTTGCAAAACTTAGTTTCCAACCTAATATTTGGTGTCACCCTTGAAGTTGCTCCGCCTGCTAAAGGAAAGTTCCAGGACAGCAGAGTAAATTCAGCAATAAATCGTCAAACCTGTTATTTTTTTTAGACTTCCATCAGGATGGAAAAGGTGGATTTTGTCGCGACAGAAGACACATTTGCACGACTGGATCGTTAGAAAAAGTGGAGATTGCATGCACAACGCCGATCTTTGCCCCTATTGCACATGCAAGATTCCTGCGCATTGAATTTTCAAAATTCATCTGTACACACAACACAAGCATTCTCTGCCAATGTTATTGCCAATCTCATTTGTAGTTTCAATGTTCATTTGGCTGACTCTCGAAAACTGGTAACAATCATGGAATATTAAAGTGAGGAAGAATGTGCTCTTAAAATCCAAGTATTCTTGAAGTTCAAACATTGTCCCACTATTTGAATTGCTCATTGTTATCGTAATTCTAGGTCGATTATTTGAGCTCAAATGCAACCATAAGGCATTTTCTTTTGTTCAAGTTTGTTCCATATACAGGGTGAACTAGCATAAAGTACTTCTGATTCAAGTTTTGACGCGCTTTTTGTTTTATTGTGCTCATCAGGGCTAGATGCCCTATCCCAACAAAAGTTAGGTTTCTTTGTGCTTTCTTCGAATTTTATCAGATTGAAACACAATATAGATTTCCAAATTTCTTTCTTCGAAACGCTTGTTACAAAGAAGAGTTTGCGCTAAACTTGGTATATCTCTCAAAAGCCTTTGCTTCAAAGTTTCTTACATAAGCTTTCATATTCGTAGAGGTAAGGTCATCTAAAAATATCGTACCGATAATACAAGACTTCCAAATATTTTCAAACTGAAAATATTTCAACGCAAACGTGTGCCTCGAATAGAAAGTTATCTTTATCCTTATTTTACTTTTATAGGATATCTTTTCAGCAGTCATTTATTGCACTTGAAGTCATGTTATAAATAGCTAATTGAGATTGGAAAATTGCTAGCTTAAATCGGAAATTTGGAAGAACCACTAAGAGCTTCGTATGTTTGGGTTATGTTACGCCATAAGAGAATTGGTTTCCTTTACTTCAAACAAAAGTATCCCACCGAAAGATGACAGCACTATCCACCTCACAATTTTTTCCTACATTCCCCTACCCCACTCCTTTTATGACATTCCGCATCTCTAAGTTTCACATCCTCATCGCTGCCTTATCTGTTCCATTCTTTGCAGACAATTGTTCTAAGCTTCGATATGCTTTTCGTAAAAGAGCGAAACATCAGAATCTTGCGTCGAAGTAAACCGATTGACTCGTATACGACGAACATGCGAAGTTACAATACGCTCATAATTCGTCAAAAAAGTAGCCGCACTTACTTGAGTGCGTCATAATGCGCTGCAGTGCGCCGAAGTGCGGCAGAGTGCGCCGCAGCGCGCTAGAGTGTGCCGGAGAGCAGCGGAATGCCGCACTCCGCTGGAGCGCGTCGGAATCCGCGTCGCATCCTCCATATCTCACTTCAGAATAGGCGTAATCTGAAACCAAGGATACCGTTCGATTCAGCTTGGCGAGACGCATCATCTGGTGTATAGAGTGCCATAATCTGTCGGAAGACGGTAGGTAAACGATAGACAGTAAGTTTTTGCTCAATTTTGCGGATTTTTGTTTGAGGGAATTTTTCAGTGTGAACAATATTGGCATGGATTTGCTGCTGATGTCACATTGTAGGAATACTGTGGGAGTATGAGAGAGAGCTACTCTGATGAATTTGTTCTAAAACCAGCTCAAGGTATAATACCGCTCCCTAATGTGCAAAATTCAGTGCTCGTTGCGCAATTCTGGGAATTCCGCGAAACTCCGCGACTTTTTCGAAACTCCGCTTGATTTTCCGGCATTCCAGCAACTCCGCGAAATCACGGAAATCACGCAAACTACGCAGCACCACAAACCTCCCTCCAGAATGAATTTATTCTGAATCCGGAAACAGCATTTTGTTCAGCTCGTTAAGGCAAATCTTTTTGAGTACAGCATGCCCTAGACCGTTTTGTTTTTTTCTCAAATTCTTCTGCGGAGGTCCTTTCGCATAAATGTAAAGCAGCGCTCATTCAACATAAAAGATTTCAGTAAGTACTTGTCGCGAACGCGTCTCGAAAGAGGCGTGGTCACGGCGGCGGCCAGCGCAAGTCAGTCGCAATGGAAAGCTCATACGCAATGGTGACTCGGATCGTAATCATGTGAGATTTCTTGTATTGTGATTGTGGTAATGATAAAGATTACCTAAATGAGTCTCATGAGTTTTCCACATGGTGCATCGGAGGAGTAAGCAAGAACCTCAAGTCGCCCAGTAGAAATTTTCTCATTTCTAGAACCTTCGTAATCTAAAGCTCTTTTCCGAAGTAATATTTTGAAACAAGGGACGCTAGACCCCAGAGACTAGCCGAGTGGTCGTTAAACGACACTTTGTGACCTGCTATCGGTGGTGTACCTGTAGCATTTTCAGTTGCCGGGAGCGGCCCGGAGACAAAAGCAAGAATGACGAACCAGGGTTCTTTTCATAGTTTTCGTGTTCTCCTTTTCTCTTTGTTATTGTTTTATTTTGCTTGCATTTCCTTTCGTACAGTTATTGTGTCCGATTTATGCTTAAAAGTTGAAGAAACTCGAGTCTATCCGATGGCCACGGTTCTCTCCTGTTTCCCATACCTCGCGGATACAGTACGCCTTATCTTCATACATCGAATCAATATTACACAGTTAAGCTCGCAAGAAGATCGCTCCCACGAATTGTTTCAGGCGCGATTTCATATCACTCATTATCATCGCAATCTCAAAACAAACATTTTGGAATTTCGAAACATTACAATGACATGAGGCTTTAAAGACGGAGTTTCACTTTTCATTACCATTTGACGGTACAGTCAGACGTTTTCAAGCCTATCTAGCTATGCCATTGTCGAATCGCTCCTTAGTCACAGCTAAGCAGCAGCTTAGTCGGCACCTCAACGATATCGCACATCTAATGTCGGACTGCGAGAAGTATAAGGAAGGATGGCAATTTCCTTCTGTTCGTAAGGAAATTATGAGTAACATTACTTATGAAATTTTTGAATGCCCCACTTGGAAAGAAATTATCCATCTTTCTTACGAAATTATACGATCGAAAGGAAAACAACATAAATATCAGCTCGCACTCTTTCCTAATGTACAAAAAAGAATCTTCGGAACTCTTTTATCGATAACCAACTTAGCAATCCCTCCTATATCCTTCTTCAACTCTCAGTTTATTCGCAAAAAAGAACATGTTGCCATGTTACCTCGAAATCAGCAATTCTCGTACATTTGCACAAGCCTAAATCGTTCACAACCTTCGAATTGTACAGTGCGTAACACTTGCTCATGTACGCCTGCCGAAAATGATGTTAACTGTTACTGCAATGATACACCGAATGATGATTTTTTCAATGTACAATCTCTGTTACCCTTAACATTCCCACATTTCGTAATTAATTTATCGAGTGTTTATAATCCTGAACTCGTAACCGAGATTGCCTCTTTAGAATTGTCATTGCAACTGAATATTTCAAGAAACAGTGTTCGAAACATAGTAGACAATTTTGCTTGCTCAATCTCCACTTCGCCCCTAGTAGGATGCTATAGCTGTCTACAAGGCGCTTCTTCTAGAATTTTTTGTCGCTCGAGTATAGCAAGCGCAATAACAGAAATCGAATGCGAAAGCAGCGCGTTTATAGTACCCTGTACACGGGAAGGAAAAAACACGGTTGTGCGGTTTTCATTTAATAAAGCCCAGATAAGCGAAATTTGTCGAGCGCGTTGCGGAACACGAACCGTCATCTTTGAAATCTCAGGAATACTTCAATTTACAAATACCCTTGCAAATATTTTCAAACTGTCGAAAACTTCGAAAATTGGATCACTGTCAGATGACACTTCGGATTTCAATTTCCCAGATTTGTTTTATTTGTGGAACGTAATCACGCAATATTTCTGGTATGCAACATTAATGGGAATATTTCTTTTAATCGCAACTATAGCAACCTTCGCCATCATAGCTCAACAATGCAAATCGAAATCAACCTGCGCATCAGCATCCAATTTTCTGAAGTTTTCCTTCCCTTGCCTCGTACCGTTACTTTGCATCCTTCAAGTATTCATGCTACCATTTCGCATATTTCGCATACTATCGCGCCTTGTACACGTCGTATTTAAACTTTGTTTTCGCATTATCGCATATAAATCGAAATGAACAATTTTTCAACGCAAACTCTTTTTCAGAATGCTACCAGAGCATGAAATCGGAAGCGACTCGGATTCGGACACCGATTCGCAAAAAAACATGGATGTGGAAATGCAAAATCAAGTAGAAGAGCAACCGAAAGAAAAGAAGAAACACACAAGTGCCGCGTGTTCAACGTCTGCCGCAGTCACCGTACGAAATCTAATAACGCAATTGACCCAGGAGTTAGAAAAAATTCGAAAAGAAGTCGAAAATAAGGAGGTTGGTTTGTATTTGAGATTTCATAGATCGAATTTTGAAGTAGAGCAAATTCAAGAATTGGTGGCGCATCCGGAAAACATACATTATTAGAAAAAAAACGTAAGAGAAAGAAATTGGTCAGTGAATCTATAGGGAAGTAATAACATAAATCGTTATTTCAGAACATCGCCAGACGCGCTCGGGATGAAATGGAGAGTGTGGATTTCAACTGAAGCAGCTCTTATCAATAGAAGATGATGAACCCACGACAAGCAGGAGACGATGCATTGCAAGGAACATAACCGACACGTGCAGCATCACGTGTCCGCGTTGTGCCCATTCATGTTCCCGCAGTAAGGAATATAAATCGCACGAAAACAGCCACAGCTCGCAACTTTTAAATAGCCTCGCACCTTGCCTCGTTCATGTTCCCGCAGTATGGAATAGAAATCGCACGAGAACAACCACAGCTCGCAACTTTTGAACAGCCTCGCACTTCAGGAAACTTGTTACAGACACTCGCCGCTCATTCGCCGTCGATGGATTTGATCATCGTCCTTATTCGATTAGATTAGAATTATTGTTAATTTGTTCCTTTTTATTCACTTGGAAGATTGTGGTTTTACTTATTTATCGATTGTAAGGAAGATTATGGGTTTATTGATCCTTTGATCAATAGGAAGATTATCGCCATTTTTTTCTTTTCTTTTCATTGTAATAATTCGAGTCACCAAGCGAATTGCACAAAAAACATTTTTTATCTCGCGCGCCGGAGGGTTGCCGAAAACCCTCGTAAAGCAAGTCTGCTGTGATCCATGTTCTCTGGACATGTTTCGGCAGCAGAATGCCAGAGCAGCCATTGATGATTGTGAGGTCACCACCCACTTTCGGTCAAGTGGAAGCTCGTTCGTAAAGGCGAACCCCGGCGGCCCAGTGTCGCGAACGCGTCTCGAAAGAGGCGTGGTCACGGCGGCGGCCAGCGCAAGTCAGTCGCAATGGAAAGCTCATACGCAATGGTGACTCGGATCGTAATCATGTGAGATTTCTTGTATTGTGATTGTGGTAATGATAAAGATTACCTAAATGAGTCTCATGAGTTTTCCACAGTACTACTCGATATTACTGTTCTTTGAAGTTATTGTGTGCTAAGCAATAGCCGCAGATGTAAACACGGCCATCAAATCTTTCCACATCGTTTGATGTGGAAAGATTTGATCTTATTGTTGGATTCAATAATTAGTAGTTGGTAGATCTGAAATCTAGCCACAAAGCTATGCTAATTAAGCAGCTGAAGCACACGCAACCACCGTATTCAATAGAGTAAGATCCTTTGGGCGAAGTGAACGTATGCAATCAAAACTCTATACAATCGCACGGTGGATTTCGACGAAGTATGCGATCTTTCCATTTTGAGCAGAATGCATGAGGACGTGTTTTTCTAGGCTCGTAACTCAGCGATCTTTATAGATTGGAGCCTGATGCATGCATCATCCGATAGCACAATTCCTAGTAACATCAACCCTCAAAATCAATCAGGTAACTTTGAGCTTGTTTTTTGAGCTCGAGCCAAGATTGGTAATAACCTTTATTTTGGGCTAACGTTTCGGCGGCGTCGCCTTCTTCAGAGCCTGAAAAGGTCAGAAACATTGCGACTCATCCGCTCAAATACCTTGTCAGCCTACAGAAACAAAACTCAACATTATAACAAGCACTACTACGGTACCAGAGGACAGACCAAGCTAGCGCTCACCTCAACAGCCTTAACGGTAAACAGAGCGAGTACCACCGACTGAGATAATGCCCTCATTAGTAAACTAGCCTCTTTTATACGCATCTGACCTCGACCTCATAGATCAAAACCCACAGAGGTTTTGATATAGAGCCAGTTCGTTGGTCACAGCGATGCATTCGTCTTTGCGGTTCATTTTTGGGTTCTTGGATGTTATCCAGAACGCCTCTAATGTTTTATTTCGTTAGGGTCGTCGACATACCACCTCCTAGCCTTAAGCAACAATTGATACGCAACCGCGCCTACGATCGCATTTGCACAAACCCAGGTTGCGTGATCTGCCCCGCCGGAAAACCGGGTGATTGCATGGAGTCAGGCGTGGTATATATCATAACTTGTTTGTCATGCGGGGACCAATACATAGGAGAAACAGGCAGGCCGCTGTGCGTAAGAATTAAGGAGCACCTGGATGGTCTTCAAAAATCTAAAACATGCACACCACTGGGCGCCCATCGCAGGCAATGCCATGAAAATCAACTTTTCGAAACATCTGTCACGATCCTATCGCGAGAAACTGAAGTGGTAGCGCGAAAAACATTAGAGGCGTTCTGGATAACATCCAAGAACCCAAAAATGAACCGCAAAGACGAATGCATCGCTGTGACCAACGAACTGGCTCTATATCAAAACCTCTGTGGGTTTTGATCTATGAGGTCGAGGTCAGATGCGTATAAAAGAGGCTAGTTTACTAATGAGGGCATTATCTCAGTCGGTGGTACTCGTTCTGTTTACCGTTAAGGCTGTTGAGGTGAGCGCTAGCTTGGTCTGTCCTCTGGTACCGTAGTAGTGCTTGTTATAATGTTGAGTTTTGTTTCTGTAGGCTGACAAGGTATTTGAGCGGATGAGTCGCAATGTTTCTGATTTTTTCAGGCTCTGAAGAAGGCGACGCCGCCGAAACGTTAGCCCAAAATAAAGATTATTACCAATCTTGGCTCAAGGCTCAAAAAACAAGCTCAAAGTTATACGCGATGCCGAGATTCAGTGACAATCGGACATGGAATGTCAATCAGGTAAGTTCTCCGACAGGATATGCGATAGGTGCAGGCGAAATTACGCGCTTTCGTCTCCGTTGTTACCTCACCATATCTCTGCAAAAAAACCTGTACATAGTGAAGGAAGCATTCTGATAGAAAACTTTCCCTGATTTTGACTTGAGCTAGATCTTATTCTAAAGCCGTCAAATGCGAGTATAGAGCCCCAGGAGGGCGTTGGGATGGTTGGCAGGACGGGAGCGGGGAAATTGCTTGTCACATTTGCACTGTTCTGCATGATTGAACCAGCTACGGGACGTACATTGACCGCCAAAAAAGGTGCGGACAAGTCCTTCCTTCTTTCATCGCTCATTTTCAGATGGTATAAAGATGAAAAAATTATTGGATTGCATGCGGCGATAGAGCTTTTCAAGAGCTACAACCTGCATGCTGCATTGTAAAAATCTTTTTCTAAAAAAGGTCCAAAAATAGCCGCATCACAATGTCGAGGACAATGACTCTTCGAACGCGGAATTCTTTTAGGTCTTTTCCCGGAGCAAAAACAGAAGGTTTCTGGACAGGTAAATATACTATATAGTAGAACTCATCGAAGACAATAATCGAGTAGTGGTTACTTCCAAAAAAACCCAAGCTTAAATTTTATTTTGCTTCTTTTTAAAAAATGATTTCTAATTCCCTGCTTCAAGCCAAATTTCTTCACATAGAAACCCATTTAAGACATTCCAACAAAGCTATTCGGATAAAATGAATGGCCCTTGTCATCTTTTATGCATCGGACGCGTGCTTTGAGTTTCTTTGCTGGAAATGGTTTGACAGTGCGTGCACATGACCCCACCTGCACCTCACCACTGACTTGCACCGCATTGCAGGGTTGTAGCTCGGCCAGCAGTCATTCTACCAGCCTGCTGGTAGGCTCATTCGAAAGAGCATGACTTCTGGACACGATGATATGCAAAAGAGTTGGGTATGAGAAACAGCGGAGTATTGGCGGATGGGGTGAAAAAGTGTAGCCTCAGTACTAGGTTAAGGATTTCCAGCTAAAGTTGAACAGAGCTTCTTTCGCTCTAAGTTCTATCCTGGAACTTTAGAACTGTCAATGTTCTTGTAATAGATCCATTTCGAAGCTAGGACTGTTCTGGTGTTGATAACAGCCTCCACTCCGCTCACCTCTAATGCTGCTCTTTTTCACCTCATCCGCCAATACTCCGCTGTTTCTCATACCCAACTCTTTTGCATACCATCGTGTCCAGAAGTCACGCTCTTTCGAATAAGCCTACTAGCAGGCTCGCAGAGTGACTGCTGGCCAAGCTACAACCCTGCAATGCAGTGCAAGTCAGTGGTGAGGTGCAGGTGGGGTCATGTGCACGCAGTGTCAAAAATCATTTTCAGCAAAGAAACTCACAGAACGCGTCCGATGCATAAAAGATGACAAGGGGCATTCATTTTATCCGAACACTTTGTTGGAATGTCTTAAATGGGTTTCCGTGTGAAGAAATTTGGCTTGAAGCAGGGAGTTAGAAGTTATTTCTTGAAAAGAAGCAAAATAAAAATTAAGCTTAAGTCTTTTTCGGAAATAACCACTACTCGATTATTGTCCTCGATGAGTTCTACAATATAGTATATTTACCTGTAAAGAAACCTTCTGTTTTCGCTCCGGGAAAAGATCTAAAAGAAAATTTTCGCGTTCGAAGAATTATTGTCCGCAACTTTGGCGGTCACTGTATGTATAGATGGACACTGACATCGCTCGACTAGAGCTTTACGTGAGTTCTTTGAATGTGTCTCCCATTCAAAAATCTTTCTGTCTGTGTTCACAGCTCACATGATGTGAGGAAGAAGACCCGACATCAGACTGGAAAGCATGTCAGACTTGTCGAAGTAAGCGATGATGTTATTTGGTACTGTAAAGCTACCATATCAATAAGCGTATTGAATTGTATCCTTTAGCACTTCATCTTACTCAACAGCTACACTGCTCTTGCACTCTGATGATGATACCAGAAGAGCTGTAGATGGCAACGTAAGCTTCGATCTGTTCATTTTTAGGTTTCTGGTTTGAGGCTAACTTATATCATTGAAACTGGCACGTCAGTCAAGGTTTTATGAGCAAACTTCATTCCGACGAAGTGAATTGGGTCACCTTTATTTGAAAGTGCCTTTTGGTAGATGTCTCTGAATTTTGAAAGGTCACATTCATGCTTACCGATCGTAACAGTAGCCGCCAAGGTCCAAGGGGAAGCCGGCAACCATTTGCTTGATGTAATGTTTTCAAGGTTCCAAGCAGACATAAAAGTTTTTCATCACGATGCACTGTTACTCAAATATTATACCTCGCAAAAAGTGCACTACCAGTAAAATTTATTGCAAGCACATTGCTATTTAACGGAAAACTCTAGACGAACTCAGAAATTAGTTGACTGAGCTAGGGGAGAAACTCGCGAAACTTGAAAAG